TGAAGCATGACTCTCATTTCCTTGATCGTATCTCGGAACGTCATCTTCATTTGGAAAGCTTGTTCCAAAGGATTTGGGAAGACCATTGTAAGATTCAGACATCTACAAAACGGGAGAAAATTCAAGTTAGTTGATTAGAATTCTTGATGCAACACCCAAATGAAACATCAAGCTAGGATCCAACACAATACTCTACAACCTAGAAGAGGGATGCCGTAATCTAGTTGCAGAATATTTGAAGGTAGGTAAATGACGATTTACCAATTTCCACCATGAAAAACGAAAAAAAGTTTAAGTTTTAAATGAATTGAAACTCCTAGATCTTTTGAGATTCATTGAACTTTTCAATGGCATGTTTAATCTCGATTATGCCCTACTATTTGTGACTGGGATGCCGAGGATCACAAACAAGGTGTAAATAACCATACGAATCACGTGGTGCACCCAATGTTACTATCACCTAATCAATGTGCCGGTTAGCCACACACGCTCCATTGATCTATGACAAACATCGAGTCACCCTTCGCTACCAATGTCATCCCCAAATTAGTGTGCCGGTTAACCACACACGCTCCACTAACGTTTGACAAGGGTACGAAGTGTAATTCCATGGGTTAGCATACAATTTCACATTTTGCCTAAAGTAACTATGATTTGGGAATTTGAAAAAGCATTTAGTTACTTTGTACTTCATTATACTTATAATGGAAGGTTTCTGTCCTATCCTACCCGTTCGGCTAACGACCCTCCACTAGTCAAGAGTGCGGTGGGTAAGAGTGGATACCCATTCAATCGCCATTTTATAGGCAATTTCCTTAAACACCCCTTATAGACTAGTTTCGTGAATGAGGCCTACTAACGGTAAGACTGACTTTTAGTTATACATATATAATATTAAACTTTTAATGTTATATATAGTATAAGGGTGTATTTTACACTTTTAAAATACTAGGTGGTTTAAATTATACTTTTAACTAACCAAAATCATTATGGATTTATTAAATCTCTTTTAATTATACACTTAATTAATTTAATAAAACCATAAGGGTTTAATTTGAACTTTTCAAAATCAGGGTTTTGGAATTTAGACTTTCAAAATTAACTTTTAATCAACAATTTAAATTCCAAAACTTGAGGGCAAGTTTTGAAACTCTTCAAAACAATTAGGTTTTAATCTCACTTAAAATTTTCGAATTTAAGACATTTAAATTAAAATTTTAAATATTAAAACTCTTGATTTAATAATTACCATAAATTAAACAATTAATTTAAATTATTAAATCACAAGGGATTATCTAGATCATGAGGATAATTACCAATTATACATCTAAGATATCCTAATCCCTTGAATCCCTCTCTAAATCTCGAAAATAAGGGATGGGATAATTCAAGATCTTTAATTACCATATTTAACAATTAAAAGATAATTACAAGATATGGGATTATCCAAATCCCTAAAATTTAGGATCTAACCTTGGGGAAGGAGGTAATTTCGAAATCCAAGGGTTGGATAACCCTAGATTTCAAAATCTTGGAGGCTAAGGAAAGGATTTGGGAAACCCTAGCAAAAATCGCCATCTAGGGTTTTGCAACCCTAATTGCGAAAATTACCTAGCCTTTAGGGTTTATTAGCCATAAACCCTAATATGTCAAGTTCACAAATTTGAATAAAAGCTAATTGAAAACAAAAACCAATGGCTCTGATACCACTGATGGGTTTTATACAAACAATCCTATGTGTGCATGCAACCCTAGTATTGGATCTATGTTTTCACTATTAGTTATACAACTTTATGAACACAAAAAGAAACCTGGCATGCTACTATAATTTTCGAAATTCATATATAAAGCTAGAATACATACCTTTTGTTGTTATATAGCAATAACAACTAGTTCCTTGAATTTCCTTAGCTCTTGAAAGCAAGTACCACAAGTGTAGTACCTCTAATGGAGTCACAAACACCATATGCAACTTGGATGAAGAGGAGAAGAAAAGGAGGCACCAAAAACGGCTGGAAACCCTAATGGAAGTGTTGTCCACGTTTTTGGGGCCTAAGGGGTCCTTTATATACTAGTGTGGGCTTCTAGGGTTTCAGTCAAAACCCTAATGGACAGCTTAAACTCTAAGCAGCCCATGGAACCTTCTGGACAAGGCTATGGACGAAAATATGATGGGCTTCCATCACAATTTCGTTCACCCTTATTCCTATAGCATTCCTTAGCCCAATAACTCAATTATCCAATAATTGCAGTCCAGTCCCCTATATTTAATTAATCTCTTTTAGCCACAAAATTAATTCTTAATTAATTCTTGACTAATATTAATTAAACAATATGATTTCTCCTTTAATATATTATTCTCATAATATATTAATAAATCATATTTAAACCTTTCTCTCCTTAAATCATCCTACATATTGCTATGGTGAAGGCAACCCAAAAGGACCATGCTCATAATTGGGTCAAGTACATACCAAAATAGTTATGGACTTAGACACTAATTGAACGGGCTGACATTGTGGCCTTAGACCCGTCCCTACTAGAAGGAAACTCACCTCGTAAGCTAGCGGATGAGTGTGTGGCTCGGAAAGCTAACGGCTGCTGCTCCTGAATCTCCTCGGCTACAAATCCATAAACACACTCAATCAATCACTAACACTACACTCAGGGTAAAATGACTCTTTTACCCTTGGTCAAAGTCAACTTACTCAGGGCTGACTCGCCGAGTCGGGATACCCGACTCGCCGAGTCCTAGACTCTCCGCTCAACTCTTACACGCTGATACTCGTCGAGTGTGGCATCGATTCGACGAGTACCCTCTGGATCCAAGAACTCAGATGATCTTCATCCGACTCGCCGAGTCCGATGAACAGACTCGACGAGTTGTTCTTGATCCCCAAGAAGATTGCCTTGGACTCGCCGAGTTGTATGAACAAACTCGCCGAGTCCCTCCATCACTGAGTCTACTCTCAACTCGCTGAGTCCATTCCCTAACTCACCTCGTCCACTCGACACTGAAGAAACTGAAAAACTCGGGACTCGCGACCTGACTCGTCGAGTCGTTCTTCCGACTCGCCGAGTCGCCGCCATGCAACATATTTTTACTCGATTTCTCTTGAATCCAACACATGCAAATGATAGATCTAGGTCCATTAAGCTGTTTTACCACGTAAAGTTTCCAACTTTACGTGCACAACCACATGAATAAGGGAAATAAGACTAAAATATGCACAATAAGGGTAGATCCATGGCTAATATGCAATGTAACTCCAAAAAGGCAGTAGATCTGGGCTCTACAACACCCCAACACTCAGATCCAAAGGTATTTCGGCTTATTAACACATTCATGCAAACATAAAGCTTGGAACAAACATCAAATAGCCCTTAAAAGAGCTCTAATGGAAGTTTAAGCATGTAACCAGAAAGGAACTCCGAAAATACCTCAATAAGTTCAGACTTGACCTTGGATCTTTGCACTAGAACTTGTTTCCTTGCTTCCTTCTTCTTCTCCTTCTTCACCCCTTCACAAAATGGGACAAGATCACATATAAGCTCACAAATGGAAGGATTAGGGTTTCTCACAGAGCTCTCAGGGGGAAAGTGACGAGATGGAGGCTATAATGGGGTTTAAATAGTGAGCAAACCCGGGGATTTAGGGTTTCACCCAGACGGACGGACTCGCCGAGTCCAGGATATGGACTCGCCGAGTCGCCGGCTCCCGCGTGCACAAGATGCGCGACCCAACTCGGCGAGTCAGGCTAGAACTCGCCGAGTCCCTCTTGAAAACTTAGACCATTAACAATTTAATTAACATACCGGAAACGGGTCGTTACATCTCCATAAGATATTAGTCCAGTATTATATAGCAGGCCTAATCGAGCCATCTGTATTCCAAAACCTAGCGAGAGAACAAATCAAAGGCAAAATTACAGGATTGATCAGACGAGGTTGCACATTAATACCAATTTCAACATTCTAGCCATCTCTCTCTATAAGCTTCACATCAAGGTCGTTGAAACAAGCATGGGCTTGGTGAATTCGAGGAGAATCAAGTAGTTATCGTAAATTCTTCGTTGAAGAAAAATCTGACGTGGCCTTGTTTAGGCTGTTTGTCTCCTCCATAAGAACTTATGGTGATAGAATTGGGTGCCGATATAGCCCTAGAAACTGGTGAAATAGAAATCGATGAAAGGGAAGGAGTTTGAGGTTTTCAATAGGAGGTAATTGTAAGACAAAATCGGGGGAGGGGGGCACAAATTCCAAACTATGGGAAGCGTGTTTGACCTAGAGGAGGTGAGAGATACATACGATCTTGAGAGTTGTGGTGACGGGTGAGAAGATGCAGACGGGCTGGAGACGGGCTGGAGCAATAGGTGGCACAAATCGTGTTCGCCATTGACGGTGGTGGTAACCGATGTAGATGGTAGAGAAGGGAGACGGAACCCTAGATCACCCATGTGTGTGTTTTGAACCAAAACATTGAAAATATAATGGCATCTTTTCCATCATTTTAGACACTAATTCACAACAAACATTGTTTATTTCATTAATTTTTATAAAAGATAACATTATGATGTCCAAGCGTTAATCCTGAACATTTTACATACATAACTTTTTAAGAAATATCTTTTTGTCTGTCATAAAATTAGTGTATGTCATAAGTCTGTTGTTAAAAGTCTTTTCTAGTCGTGTCAAAGACTATGTCACCGTACATCCAAAGTATGTTGAAACATTTGCTATCCTTTAGAAGTTAAAAATAACATTTTTCTAGTTTACTTAAAAGAAAGTATTTATCGGGCATAAACCTTTCTTAGAAATCCTCCAAAACCTTGTATCGACAACAAATTGAAGAACTGATAGATGGAAACAACATTTTTTGAAGGAAAAAAACGGTATTAAAACGCCTGTCAAATTTATTGATATGGATTTTGAACTTAAAACCCCCTCAAATTACATTATATACCGAAATTAAAAGCCAAAAATAAAAAATTAGATGAAAACTACATCTGTCGAGCCTTTTGTAAATTTGATATGAATGCCACTATCTTGACATAAACCCTGTCTTTGAAGTTATCATAACAGTGAAAAAAAGCATGTCTTCCACGGCGGTTGACAAGTAAAGCACCACATGCTATCCAAAATCCAGTAGCAAAACCAGTCCCCCCACCAATATAGAACCATCCCCAAATTTCATCTCCACCTTCCCCATCACCCACACTTTCACCAACGACAGGTGGCACTTTTAAATCTTCATCCTCAGGACATTTTTTGTTAAGAGGAGGTCCACATAGTCCTACATTTCCATCGTATCTTGAAGGTTCAAAGGACTGGAGCTGTGTGCTAGATGGGATTCTCCCTGTCAAGTTATTAAATGACATGTCTAGGTAATTCAGTAAGCTCATCTGAGACATGCTTGATGGTATCTGCCCTGAAAAATTGTTTCTAGATAAATCCAAAGTCAAAAGATTTTTCATCTCACCAATTTTCTGTGGAATATCTCCAAATAGATCGTTGTTTGACAAGTTTAGAGAAATCAAGTCATGAAGATTGGTAATTTCGTATGGGATTTGTCCTGCTAAATTGTTGCTTGAAAGGTCAATGCTCTTCACCAATTTTAGAGTGTTAAAGAATTCCCGTTCATCTCCTTGCCACCTAATCATCGCATTGTCAACATATGTTGTCCAAACATATGTTTGACCTCCTTCAGTTCTATATACCTTTATATCTTGTGAGAATCCTTGTAGAACCATGCTTGTAAGATTACTCAAACACGAGGGTATGGTTCCATAGAGATTGTTCATTGACAAGTCTAGAATTTGAAGATATGCTAATTGACATAATTTTGAAGGGATGGTTCCAATGAAGTTGTTTGATCTTAGGATAAGAACATACAATCCTGTTAACTTTTCCCCAATCCAGACAGGCACATTACCAGAGAACTTGTTGGCTCCCAAATTCAACGAGTTTAAACTCGTGCAATTCTTTAATGACAAAGGCAATTCGCCAGATAATTCATTCTTGTATAAATGCAATACCTTGAGATTGATCAGATATTCAACAGAGGGAGGAAGCCTTCCAAAGAGATTGTTGTGCCCCAGATTAACAATTTTTAGTTGTTTGAAATGCCACAAACAGTCTGGGAGTTGTCCAGTTAATGAGTTATGAGAGAGGTCAAGCAATGACAAGAACCCACCAACAATCTGGCATATAAATGAGATTCCCCCAGAAAACCTGTTTCTGGAAAGATCTAATGATGCCAAAGTGGAAGCAATATTTGGTATTGGACCATGAAAGTTGTTGGAACTCAAATCTATCACAGAAAGGTTGGCAAAATTTGATAATAAATCTGGTACTTTCCCACTAATGTTGTTGGAAGAGAGATTCAGATATTCTAATTGAGAAGGCCATGTGGCCCAAAACTCGAGAGGAGTTGTGTCTGAAATTGCAGTATTGGAAAGATCAAGACTGGTAAGATTTTTGAGTGTATGAATCCATTTTGGGAAGTGAGGCCCTATCTTACAAGACATCAGACCAATAACCTTTACATAAGAAAGGCTTGACAAGTGATATGTGGAAGGAACTGTAAGATTATTAGAAGAAAGGTCAAGAATTTGGAGCCTGGGTAGTTCCCACAGTTTCTCACTTATACTTCCATTTAACTGATTATCAGATAGGTACAGAGATTCTAGGGATGCAAACTTCTGGATCTCATCAGACAGTGACCCTGTAAATTGGCTACCTCGAGTAATCAACATTTGTAAGGTCAAGGACGTGCATCCAGACAAGTTGTTGAGAAAATCAGGAAATTTGACAACAGCAGAGTTGTTAACGATGTACAAACGTTCCAAACTACAGAGGTTCCCAAGGTATTTGGGTATCCCATCTAACATATTGCCAGAGAGAAGAAGAGAATTAAGCTTATTGCTGGTTAATGGAAGCAACCAGCGATACATGGATGAGTTCAGATTGTTGTTTGTAAGAAAAAGGTATTGAATAGATGAAGAAGAGTTGTGAAAAGAAGAATATGGATACATGACCTGTGACAGCTCACATCCATCTAAACTTAAACTCAACAGTTTTGGGAGACTCGAAATTACACCTACCCAATTATTTGCATTCGCAAGGGAAATCCCATCCATTCTCAGATCCTCCAAATGAGAGAGATGAGACAACCACTCCATGTTTTCAACTCTACAACTTCCAACAGAATCAAGATAAAGGTCTTGCAAGTTGGTGAGGTTTCCAAACTGTGAAGGAATGGTTCCATAAAGAGAGTTACTGGAAAAGGAAAGGTGCCTTAACTGGGTCAAGTAACCAATGGACCTGGGAATAGCTCCATGAAAGGAATTGTAGGAAAGGGAAAGGTACCTTAATCGAGTCAAAGAACCAATGAAAGTGGGAATGGTTCCATGAAAAGAATTGTCAGAAAGATCAAGATGATTCAAGTAGGTTAAGTTAAGCAAGGAATGGCTAATCTCACCTCCAAGACCACCCTGTGAAAAGAAGTTGTTGAGTTCAAGCTTTGTGACGTGACCAGTTTGGTTGTTGCACTCGACTCCACTCCATTTACAGCAGTCATGTTGGTCAGATCTCCATGTAGAGAGAGTATCAGAGGGGTCGTGAAGGGGAGCTTTGAAAAGAAGGAGAGCATCTCTCTCATTATCCAAACACTTTTTCATATTTCTATCATCTCCTTCCAATTGGCTGGCAGTTGCATTCACAAGGAGGAGCAAGAGAAGTGAGAAAATTATAAAAACACAAGGATTCATAATTTAATTAAAAATGAAAATCTTGGTGATTTTTGGTTTGTAATGATGCCTGCCTATATGAACTGCACCCGTGAGTGTTTATATATATAGTCTCGACTGTGAGCATAAGTGATTATAAACGGGTGGCCTTGAATTAATTGTGTCGGGGATACAGTATTTAATTCCCATGAAATTAGAACCAAACTATAAGAAAAAATCAAAGATGAAGATTTGAAATAAATGTCTCAAATTAGTCGTTCAATGACTTGCAAGTCTTGACAATTTGCATATATTATCTATATCTTATCCGATCTTTGTGATATTTTCAAAGACTTTAAAGTGATGTTAACCATAACCTTTATTAAATACAAACATATAAGAATGTAAACGCAAACATTGAACTGACCACCAAATTAACAACAACTATTTAATAAATCTCGTATTCCCATTCCATTGTTAAACAATTTATGTTTATGCTATCCTAAGAGTATTTTTATGAAATCAATTAGAAAAGTTTTAGCAGAAACATATATCTAATTTATCATATCAATTAATTCAAAATTTTCGAACAGAAACATAAACCCACTATTCAACAGAAACGAAAAAAAATTCAAACAAAATCAAAAGAAACGTTATTCAACAGAAAAAATAGAGAACAGGGATGAAGAGGAGAAATGCGTTGAGTATTAGTGACGGAAAACCAAGAAGATGACAACGGTAGCTAGGCGGCGTCTTCGACGACAGTGGGGAGGTAAAAAAGCAAAAAAATTATGGATATTTTTTAGCAATATATTATATTATATGGACTTGTTCGCGAAAACATTATTATATTTATTTATTGGTTATGTATATATCAACCTGAAAGATATTTTTATATTTTTATCATACAATAACCATTTATATTGCTAAAAAATATCCATAAATTTATGTGATTATTTTTTTCCACATTAATAAAAAATAACCTCATAATTTAAGTTATTATTCCCTAATTTCAGTACTTGACATCAGATCAGTGATAATTAATGTTTTGCAAAAACGATAGTTTTGAACCCTAATCCAAGTTTGAACCTTGAGTTTATTATGCTTGGAAAATATAAAATCTATTCATAATTACAAAAGAGTTTCTAAAAATAAAATATTTATAAATTTCTATTTGTAATCACTAACCTCTCTAGTCTCTAAAGACTTTGAGTGTGTTCTTGGTGAACGTGTATGTGAGGTGACGTTAAGCAAGAATTGAAGATAAAACAAAGAGTTTGTTTGTAATCTCCAACATAAGAAAACAAGGTATTACATCAAAGTTGAATATTATGAGCAAACTCAAGAACCTTAAGTTCAAGGTTTGGACAAATGATGACTTTGTTCTTAAATAATCATTCATTGATCATGCATCAGCCTATCATTAAGTGGGATTGGTGGTTAATTAAAGAACTATCATAGATTTAAAAATGATACAAGTATTTGATGCATAACATGAAAAGTATAAGTTGTATAGTCTGGTAATATAGAATTTCAAATCATGTTTATGAGTTATTAAAATGTCATTAGTAGAGACTGGGAAACTAATCATGTATTAGTATGAGTTTGAAGTTGGTTTTAGTAGTGATGTATAGCTTATATTGTTACCCTGCATGAAAAGCATGATCGGGGATTATAAAGCAAAGGTTTCGTGCATGATCGGGGATTATGAAGCAAAGGTTTCGTACTCCTGTAACACCTAGCTTTTTTTATAAAATACATAACAAATTACTAAAATCGTCGTTATGGTTTGATTAAAATTGCATTTTTGGTTCTTTTTTTTTTTTTTTTTTTGCATTCGGATTGCTCTCAAAATATGATTTTATTGTGTTATACTTCCCTCTCTAATTTATTTTTTACTTGTTTCTATTATTAGTTTTATATTTTTTTAATAAAAAAATAGAATGGGCCCACACTCAACTCTTTGTCTTCTCACATGTTCAACCATCTTTCACTTTACTACCATTCACTACCAATACTATGTCATTACTCACCCACTAAGACTCATTATCACCATCTCCAGCGAGACTAGAAATCCGACAAGACAAGAACGCCGACGAACATCACACATCATCACCCACCACATGTCACCCACCTCCATCATCTCTCCCCGTAAATCGGTAAACCCTCATCAATAAATCGGTAAACCACTCACCTCCACCATTTAACCCCCTAAATTCTTCGGCGAGTCCATAACGACGACGAACACCACACTCACCCTTACTGTGCTTTTTCCATATCTTTCCTCCATTGGACTACCGATAAAGATCTTAAATAGAAAATTAGAGAATTACAACACAAGATCTTGAACTCAAATCAAAATTGGAGATCTACAATATAAGGTCTGGAACTCAAATAAAAGATCTTCATTGTACCTGTATCATAAATCTCCCAACACCATCATCTTCTTATTAAAATTGGAGCCACCACCACCACTGTGTTACTGAAGTGGGTGATTTTCTGAAATAGGAGGCACCACCACCATCGCCTTACGTAATCCAAGCCAGAACAATCAATGCTTCTGAAAATCGTCTTTTATTTATAGGATATCATCAAATTTCTTCTTTCATCATTGACTTGAGGTTGGGGTTTATGTTTTGGGTTTTGATTTCTATATTTGGTTTTGATTTCATTTTATGTTCTCATTTAACAATTTCGGGAGTTGACTTTGGTTAGATTTTGATTTCGGGATTAGACGTTGGTCTGGTTTTGATTTCTCGGATTTGATATTGGGTTGTCACATGATGAAATTGATGATGTGGGCGATGGTGGTGTCGGAATAGGTGTATGGTGGTCGTGTCAGAATCGTTGAGTGGTAGTTGTCAGCAACTGTGGTGGTTGTCGATGAACGGTGAAGGAAGGTGGTTGTGGTGTAAGTAGGAGTATGAGTGGGTCCCAATAAATCACTTAATTGATTTTCATAAATCAATTAATAATAAACAAATAATAAAAATAATAAATAGAAAATACAAAGGGCGATATAGTTTTTTTTTTTTTATTTATCTCTACAAGGGACAAAAAACGCAATAAAATCATAACTTAGGGACGGTCCCAGTGCAAAAAAATAATACTTAGAGACCAAACCAATAGTTTTTACCAAACCATATGGACTATTTTAGTAGTTTGTTCTAAAATAAAATATTATAGTTTTAACACACTTACTGGCATTAAACCATATTTATTAAAATATTGTCCCGAAAGTTTTCATTACAAAACAAATTGTAATACTTTAAACCGGGTATTACAACTGATACAACCAAAGCCATAGTAAAGAAATAATTAGACATACTCATAGAAACTATGTCCAATTTCTATCCTTCAAAGCTCATTTTATCGGTGCAAACAAAATCTTCTACATTTCATATCGGACTTGGAATACATGGCATTTAACAAAACATATGTAAGACAATAATGTCTCGTAAGTCGTATGGGGTTAGTCGGTTAGACCCAAAATATTTACAATATAGGTAAAAATTACCACTTTCAAAACTAGAGAACTCTTTCATATCTTGAAAACACTTTCATAACTTGTAAACTTTTTTATAGTCTGAAAATACTTTTATAACTTGTAAACTCTTTTAGAGCTTGAAAATACTTTTGTAAGTTGTAAACTCTTTTATATCTTGAAAATACTTTCATAAATTGTAAAATCTTTTATAGCTTGAAAAACATTGAGACTATACAATGCATGTCCTCACTCAATGCAAACTTGTGGGACTTCACAAATCTTTTATCTTTTTTTAACTCATGGATATGTGTTGAATATGGTGTCGAAAAGGACATAAGTTGTGAGAATATGTCGAATCTGGCTTATCATGATAGATGAAGAAATCAATCTAGCATGATATATGATTTGAAGTACGAGAGGTATTATCCGAGTAGTATCTTGCTAATCCCTTCCGTTATGGCTCGCTTGGTATTCATTTTACTCATTTACTATGCAATTTAATATTATGATGCACGATCACACTTTTCTTGCCAAGACTTGATCACACATGATGCTACGCTTTAAACTTAATCATAACAATTTGGATAGTAATAACATTTTGTGACAACCCAAAGTTATTCCGTTACATTACCCCGTTACCGTTAACAGAATATTTCACTGTATAAAAGTTCCGTTAATTAGAGGTCGCCAATTAAATAAATATTTCATTTATTTATGTCGTTAAGTTGTGATAAGAGAAATAAAAACTCATAATACACATTTCCATTTAGTTGGAAAAGTTAGTTTTTATTATTACGACCACTAAATCGGGTGCGACCAAAAGCCCCGTTAAACGACAGTATCGGGTAGAATATCACTGAGCTCCAACTCCCACCCATATATAAGGGGGAGTAAACTCCATTTGAGCCTTTTCCACCCTCTCTCTCTATACTCTCTCTCTAGACTCGTTTTTGACCCGAATCCGCAACCAAACGCTTCCAAATCGTAAGTCCACTTACCCTAGCTTGTTCTAAACATTATGACTCGTGATTATAGCTTAAAATTCGACCATTTAAGCTTTTGAAAAGGAGTTCATGGCCTAAGATCCTCCTTAGGCCGTAAACACCTTAATTGAGGCCAAAAAGACCCAAACTTGTCCCTAAAAGATTGGAAATAAATTGAGGATTTAGCCTAGGAGTGTTTGCTCATTTAAAACAATCAAATTGAGGCATAAAAGAGAGTTTACAGCCCAATCACATGCTTAGGCCGTAAACACCTCTAAACCTTGTCAAAATGCCCCAAACACACTCCCAAACCACCCTTAGGCTTAATACATGAATTAGGGGCTTGCTATTTCGGGTTTAGATCATTCAAACACAAGGATTTAAGGGATTAAAAGGATTTTACGGCCCAGACATATGTCAAGGCCGTAAACACCCCTAAACATGCCAAAGCTAATGGTTTTAATTCCCTCAAAGGGCCTCACACTTCATGATAAATTACTAGGAGGGTATTAAGGGCTTAAAACTTCAATAAACTCAAGGAATAAGAGTTCACGGCCGTGAACTCCCTTAGG